GGCCCCACAACTGACCAAAAAAAAAAAAAAAAAAAACACCAGAAATAGTAGATTCTGTTTCAGAAATCTCTATGGAAGATTTCAGAACATCTGACCATTTCACTGCCTTACAGACAGAAACCCTAGGCCTCATGTCATCAACTGGATGCCACTAGTTACAGACAAAATCCCATCACAAATTCTAGAAAAACATCTCAGAAGTACACATTCTATTAGAAAGACATGAGATCAGATTTGATAAAGTTCCCATGTGACTGATCCACAGAGAAGTTAAATAATGAAGGTTGGAGAGCCAATCTCTGGCATCAGTTTGGTAATAATCATTTAAACAAAAGATGAGATTACAACAACCGCAAGTCAAATGTAACAACTGTCAGTATCCAGAAATACAGCTTCTAGATGGAAATATATACTCCTTTGTGATTAGTGAAATTATTAAACATGCTTTTTTGATACAAAAATGAAACATCACATACAATCATGCCTTAAAAAAACTTTATTGTTATTTGACAAATAGCTTATCTGGTGTGTGGAAGTCTAAAATGTTCCTTAAAGTAACAATAATACTAACAGTGCTTTACCAAAAGTTTTTACAATTTCATGAGGCAAGCAGGAAATGTTTGTTTTCTACTGATCCCTACTTTATCCTGCTATAAGAAAATAAATTTGCCGGGCGCCAGTGGATCACACCCATAATTGAAACTACTCAGGCGACTGAGATCTGAGGATTGCGGTTCAAAGCCAGCCCAGGCAGAAAAGTCCATGAGACTTTTATCTCCAATGAACCACTCAGAAAACTAGAAGTGGCACTGTGGCTGAAGTAGTAGAGTGCTTGCCTTGAGCTAAAGAGTTCAAGGACAGCGCCCAGGCCCAGAGTTCAAGCCCCACGAACAAGAGAGAGAAAGAGAGAGGGAGGGAGAGGGAGGGAGGGGAGAGAGAGAGGAAAGAAAGAAAGAGAGAGAGAGAGAAAGAAAGAAAGGAGGGAGGGAGGGAAGGAGGGAGGGAGGGAGGGAGAGAGGGAGGGAGGAGAAAGAAAGATGGGGTGGAAAGCAATCTACAGATTTAAACCAATCCCCCTTAGTTATCCTTCACAGAAATAGAAAAATCAATCCTGAAATTCAAATGGAAACATTAAAGATCCAGAATACTATAAGTAATCCTGAGCAACACTATAGGTATCACAATACCAGACTTCAAATACTACAGATCCATAGTAACAAAACAGCATGGTACTGGCACAAAAACATGTGGTCCAATAGAAGACCTAAAAATAAACCCACAATGCTAGAGACATCTGATTTTTTTTTTTTTGCAAAGTCTACATTGTAAGTTGAAGAAAAGACAGCCTCTTCAACATGGTGCTGTGAAAACTGAACATCCATATCCAGTTTCCAACAGAAGGCTGAAACTAGACCCCTACCTCCTACCCTGTAAAAATACCAATTCAAAATGAACCAAAGATTTTTCATAGGTGGAGGGCAGAGGGGAGACTGGTGTTTGAACTCAGAGCGTACCAGGTAGGCACTTTTATCATTTAAGCCCAACTCCCAGCTCTGGATCAAAGATCTTAATGTGAAATCTGAAACTTGGAAAACTACATGAGAATATAGGAAAAACACTGGAAGACACAGCATAGGCATTTTCTGAACAGGATTCCAATAGCTCAGGAAATAAAAGCAAGAAATGACAAATGGGATTACATCCAATTTTACAGTTTTTGCCCAGCAAAACAAACAACTACCAGAATGAAGAGACAACCCAGAATACAAAAATACCTTTAGCTAAGCTGGGCGCTGGTGGCTCATGCCTGTAATCCTAGCTACTCAGGAGGCTGAGATCTGAGGATCACAATTCAAAGCCAGCGTGGGCAGGAAACCACCAGAAAATCGGAAGTGGCACTGTGGCTCTGGTAGAGCTCTAGCCTTGAACTGAAGAGCTGAGGGACATCACCCAGGCCCAGAGATCAAGCCCCACAACCAACCAAAAAAAAAAAAAAGTACCATTAGCTATTCATCAGATAATGGATTAAATATTTAGAATATATAGAGTTCATAAAATTAACCAATAGAATAAGCCAATAAATGAGCAAGTGAGTTGAACATATAGTTCTTGGAAATAAAAATAGCTAATAAATACAAGGAAAGCTCTTCAACACCCTTTGCCATAAAAGAAATAAAAATGGAAACTACAATGATTCTCTAATCTCCCTCCAGTCAGAATGGCAATCAGGAAACTAAGGCAGGAACCAATGGCTCATACATGGAATACTAACTTTATAGGAGGCTGATCTGAGGATCAGCTAGAGCAGAAAAATAATTTTATCTCCAATTAACCTGCAAAAACTGGAAGCAGAAGTAGAGCGGTAGTTCAAAGGGTAGAGTACCAGCCCTAGTACCAGCTAAAGGGGAACATACTGGTCCTGAGTTCAAACCCCCAGTACAGGCATACAAAAAAAAAGTACTGGTCTTGATTTGAGGGGAAAAAATGAAAGAAGAACCCTTATGTGCTGACAATGAGAATATAAATTAGTACAGCTATTATAAAAATCAGTGTGAAAAGTTCCTCAAAAACCTAAAAAAACTAAAAACACTGCCTGACACTAGTGGCTCACGCCTGTAATCCTAACTACTCAGGAGGTTGAGATCTGAGGATCACAGTTCAAAGCCAGTCTTGGCAGGAAAGTCCATGAGACTTATCTCTAATAAACGACCAGAAAACTGGAACTGGTGCTGTGGCTCAAGTGGTAGAGCGCTAGCCTTGAGCTGAAGAGCTAAGGAACAGCACCCAGGGCATAGTTCAAGCTCCACAACCAAAAAACTCTAAAAACAGCCTATCTTATGACCCCACAATAGTTTTGGGCATATATCCAAAGACATGTTAACTCAATATGTAAAAGAGATACTTGCATATCCATAGTTATCACAGCAACCAATGAATAAAAAAATTGTAGAACCAACACAGCATGGATACTATTACACTATAAAGAAGAATAAAATGTCATTTACAGGGAATGAATGGGACTAGAGATCATATTGAGCAAGCTAATCTCAAAAGGCCATATAGTCAATGTTTTCATTCATATGCAGAATCCAGGGCTAAATGGTAGCAATAACAGAATATAAGCATCAAAGGAGGACTGTTGGGGCGGGGGTGAATTGAGAGAGATGAGGGAGGAGAAGATACTAAGGAGTAAATGTGGTCAAAGTATTCTAGCTATTGTGATTTAGCATAAAATCTACTAAATATTGTTTATAGAGAGGAAAGGGGGTTAAATCTACTAAATTCTGTTTCCTTATTTTAATTTAGTTAAAAAAATATTAAGCTTAGGGCTTGGAAGGTGGCTCAGTGGTAGAGTGCTTGCCTTGCATGCATGAGGCCCTGGGTTCAATTCCGAAGTGGTGCTGTGGCTCAAGTGATAGAGTGCTAGCCTTGAGCTAAGAGCTGAGGGACAGTGCCCAGGCCCAGAGTTCAGGCCCCACGATCAACAAAAAAAAAAAAATTAAGCTTATCTATACTATGTATAAACTTACTGGGAAGACTATGAAAAGGAGAAAACAAGTATAGAAGACAAGAAGACAAGGACAAACACCAAGATGGGCACCAGCGGCTCACACCTCACTCTGAGGACTGAAACTCAAAGCCAGCCAGGGCAGGAAAGCATGAGACTCTTATCTCCAATTAGAAAAAAGCAGGAAATGGCACTGTGGCTCAAGTGCTAAAGAGTCTAGCCTTGAGCAAAAGGAGCTTAGGGACGGCAGTCAGGCCCAAAGATCAAACCTCGAGATCAGCAAAAAAAAAAATTAATTAATTAATTATGAACCAGTTTTGCTTACCAGAGGATTCCCAGTTCCTAACTCAATGTCACCTAGAGTCAATAAAGATATTTCCATGTACCCATTTATGGTCAGAGAAACTATCCTATCAAATTATATATGACTTAAATAATCTACACAGCAAAAAATTTACCTAGCTGTTGTTTTAGCAGCTACTCTCTTAATTAAAAATATAGATTTCACTTAGACCAAACTTGAAACAATACATCATAACTTAAAATATTCTAGCCCAGAGCCAGTGGTTCATACCTGTAGTACTTGCTACTCAAGAGGCTAAGATCTGAGGATCACAGTTCAAAGCCAGCCAGGGCAGGAAAAGTCCGTGAGACTCATCTCCAAATATCCACCAGAAAACCAGAAGTGGCACTGTGGCTCAACATAGTAGAGCACTACATTGGAGTGAAAAAGCTCAGAGACAGTGCTCAAGCCCCAAGTACAAGCACTATGGCTAACAAAAAAATATTCTATTACTGAACAATCAAAGGAGATGAGCTTGCCATTTAAAAATTTCATAGACCACTTTTTAAAATATAGGTACTGGGCTGGGAAAGTGGCTCAGTGGTAGAATGCTTGCCTTGCATGCATGAGGCCCTGGGTTCAATTCCTTAGCACCACATAAGCAGAAAAAGCCAGAAGTGGCGCTGTGGCTCAACTGGTAGAGCGCTTGCCTTGAGCTGAAGAGCTGAGGGACAGCACCCAGGCCCAGAGTTCAGGCCCCATGACCGGCAAAAAAATAAAATAAAATATAGGTAGTATAAACATGCTTTTATAACTTGCAAATGAAAAATCTTTTTCCTCAGAATTTCTTCTAAATTCAACCACTACATGGAAATAGTCATTCCAGAGGGCAAGATTTTTAAGTATTGAAAAAAAAAATTCATTTACAAGATTTTATGAGTCCCTGGGGGAAATGTCAAGCTGCCTGATTAACCTAGACTAGTTTCCTAGGTTACTACCTCTCATGATGTCTTCCAGCATTAGCATAGAAACAGTTATTGAAGGATGTGAAAAAAGGATGTCAAATTTGATAGTTAAAACACAAAGAATCACCAATTTGTTAGTAACTCACAAATGAAGGACAAAGAGAGAAAAGACAGAAAGAAAAAGGGCTGACAATTGATATCCCAAGACACCTCTATTTAAGTTTATGAATGATTTACTCTTCAGGGTAGCAGGACTTAATGCAAATGAAAGCAGAGGAAACTGTCGGCTGCACTGTGGTCCAACCAATAGCAGCACAGCTCCATCTTGGCTGTGCACTAGACTGCGTTACAAACAGACGATACCATCGCTTCAACAGCATCCTCCCAGACAAGAGGTAGGTTTATATGATCTCTTATTCAGCAGTCCATATCCTATGATGCAATGAGAAAATATTTTACCAGAAAATCACAGAAAGCCTTACTCCTACTAAAAGACTTAAAAAAAAAAAAACAATGTGCTTGATAGCATTTTATTATGAAAATATGAAGGCTGCCTTGTGCTGTCTGATAATACCATCTTACCATCTGTGCCTTAATGGAAAATTCATTACATTATGTATGAACCTGATCTATATGCAGACTTTAAGTAAACCAAACGTATTTGATGTTAACTGGTTACTGTTAATTTCATTTTTCTCGAGCAATTTCATTTCAGCAGTCCGATCTGGCTTAAACAAAGGATTTTTCTTAAAGAAAAATCTACACTGAAAGTAATCCCTGGACTAAAGCTTTCTGATTAAATGTGTATATTTTACTGACTGGTAAAAAAGCAGTTATAAGGAAGTTTATTTTTAACAAATACAGGAAAATAGTTCAAATATTATTTGACTTTGAATGAAGGTACAGAGAATGCCAAGAAATTCAATTTTTTATTTTTACATGAAATTAAGGCCATAAAATGTAACATTATGAGTTATACTGTAAGACAGAGCTTTAGATTTTCCTTAAGTTTTAATTAAAATTCCTCACAGATTATCTTACTATAAAATAGAAATCATGCTGTTAAGTGAAAATGTTTTTAGATTTAATTTTTTGATGACACAAAACGTTATTTATCATAGCATTTATATTTAATGTTGAGTTATTCTTACATTCATCCTGAGAACAAATACAGTTTTTTAAGATACATTTTAAAATAAAAATGTTCTAAAGAAAAACTGATTAAGGGAGGAGGGTAATTCTAGCTAATAAGATTATTTCATGGCTCAGAGCAATCATTCGTGTCTATCAAAAATTAGTATCAGCCACTGACCAAGTTTCTAATTTTATAGTATTAGAGCATGAAAAGATTGTTAGTAGATGCTAGAGGCTCCAGGGTACGATGTCTATACCAACCTAAAGATCCAACTTCTGCCCTTTACTTTGCTCAGTATGAAATCTTTTCAACAGTTTTGGTTTTTCATAATATCTATTTCCTAGGTAAGCATTCATTCAGCTAGCATTAAGTAGAGTATCTCTCCGCCAACTCCCAGGTTTGGCACAATAGGGTTAATTACCTAGAAACCATCCTGCTTGCCATATAAAATATGGGAGCCTAAACATAACAAGGAAATAAATTCATCAAATAAAACAATTCACAATACTTCATATATAAGGTATCTACAACAATTAGCATAAATAGAGATATCAGTTTCACCAATCCAACTTAGAGACAAGGCCCATGCCAAATAATTCAAACTTGAGTTGTTCTATATTTAAAAGCTATAATGATTAATCATATTTAAACAAAGCGATATGCTTAACAGCATCAAGGAATTCAGGGGGTTTTGCTTGGTTTTTGTCTGTCTTGGGCCTGAACTCTGGGCCTGGGCGCTGTGCCTCAGCTCTTCAGCTCAAGGCTAGTTAGTGCTCTACCACTTGAGTCACAGTACCACTTCTGGCCTTTTCTGCTTACCTGGTTCTAAGGAATTGCACCCAGGGCCTCAGGCATGCAAGGCAAGCACTCTACCACTGAGCCCCATTCCCTGCACGAATTCAAGTGTTTTTACCATGAATATAGCTAAGGCACAATTTTCTTTTCTGATCTGTCAGTGCTCCAGAAGAATTCCAAGTCCTATTACCATAAGTACTTTTGAAATAGGACGAAAAATAAGAAGGCAAGACACCAAAAGTACAAAACCAAAAGCATGCACTGCTAGCTGGGTATAATGTTATACTCCTGTGATCCAGCTACTTAAAAGGCAGAAGTAGAAGGATCACAGTTAGGGAGTCAACCCAGGCACAGTTAGTAGCTATCTATCTGAAAAACAAGCTTAAAAGGCAAAAGGAGTAGGGGTCTGTCTATGTGGTAGAGTGCCTATCTAATAAGCGCAAAGCACTGAGCTTAATACCTTGATACTGCAAATAAGCTTATAAACAATGAAAAATTATGCATTAAAATAATTAAAATATTTTTGCTTTAAAGCTTCCTGTTCCTAGAATGATTTTTTTTTCGGCCAGTCCTGGGGCTTGAACTCAAGAGCCTGGGCACTATCCCTGAGCTTGTTTTTGCTCAAGGCTAGCACTCTACCACTTGAGCCACTTCTGGCTTTTTCTGTTTATGTGGTACTGAGGAATCAAATCCAGAGCTTCATGCATGCTAGGCAAGCACTCTACCACTAAGCCACCTTCCCAACTCCTATAATGAAATTTTAAAGGGGAAAATCTACAAAAACATAAAATTAGCCAGGCACTAGTGGCTCACACCTGTAATCCTAGCTACTCAGGAGGGTGAGATCTGAGGATTGCAATTCAAAGCCAGTCCAGGCAGGAATGTCCATGAGACTCTTATCTCCAATTAACCACTCAGAAAAGAAGTGGTGCTTTAGCTCAAGCAGTAGAGTGCTAGCTTTGAGCTGAAGAGCTGAGGGACAGCACCCAGGCCCAGAGTTCAATCTCTACAACCGACCAAAAAAAAAAAAAAAAACTAAAACTATAGATAGATTTCTACCCTTCCCCCTGATTTTTTTTTTTTTTTTTGCCAGTCCTGGGGCTTGAACTCAGGGCCTAGATACTGTTCTTTAGTTTTTTTGCTTAAAGCCAGCACTCTACCACCTGAGCCACCGTACCACTTCTGGATTTTTCTGTTTATGTGGCACTGAGGTATTAATTCAGGGCTTCATGCATGCTAGAAATTCATGATACATTCCTAGCCCCCCATTTTTTTAAATAAATTTTTATTGAGATTAAGTGATTGCATAAATTTCACAGTACTGAGGGATAGTGATACTTAAAAGTTCAAACACATTTTAACTTTCACAAAGCAAATTGTCATTATCATGGTCTATAATGTTTGTGAATTCTATGAGCTTTGACAATACAACTATTTCTTCCACATGAGGTGATATGTACGTGTCTTTCCTTTTGCTTAGTGTAAGCTGTTCCCTCCTTCCCTCTCATTCCTTCCCTCTCATCACTGTCTTTGAGTTGCTTAGCTCATTTTCACCAATGTTCAGTCCAGTCCCCTATCTTTTAAAAACAAAAAAACTTTTTCTCTTGCTTTCTGAAGGCATGTTCACAGTATTCAATTAATATACATTTATATAATATGGTCAAAGATATAGTCTCAGGGAAGTGGCACTGTGGCTCAAGTGGTAGAGTACTCACCATGAGCTAAAGAGTTCAGGATGTGCCCAGGCCCAGAGTTCAAGTCCCATGACCAACAAAAATATATTTAGATCTATATAGATATATCGTCTCAGTCATTTGCCATTGGCTCACACCCATAATCCTAGCTGCTTAGAAGAGGAGGCTAAGATCTGAGGATCAATCTGAGGATCAAGGTTCAAAGCCTGCCAAGCCAGTCAAGTCCTTCAGACTCATCTCCAATTAACTATCAAAATGCTGGAAGTCAAACTGTGGCTCAAGAGGTAGAGAGCCAGCCTTGAGCAAAATAGCTCAAGGACCTAGCATGCACATGTATATACGTGCACACATGCATGCACATATACATAAGTCTCAGAATAGGAGAAATGTAAACATTCTAATAGTATGTCTTGGGGCTGGGAAGGTGGCTCAGTGGTAAAGTGCTTGCCTTGCATGCATGAAGCTCTGGGTTCGATTCCTCAGCACCACATAAGCAGAAAAAGCCGGAAGTGGCTCTGTGGCTCAAGTGATAGAGCACTAGCCTTGAGCTGAAGAGTTGAGGCACAGCGCCCAGGCCCAGAGTTCAGGCCCAGGACTGACAAAAAAATAAAAAATAAAAAAATAGTATGTCTCTGTTTTACATATGAAGTAAGCCTAATCCTCCAATATTTAGTCTTTACCTTAAATTTAAAACAAAAGATTGGAGTCTTTCTTTTGCAGGGCTGGGAATGTGGCTTAGTGGTAGAGTGCTTGGCTAGCATGCATGAAGCCTTGGGCTCGATTCCTTAGTACCACATACACAGAAAAAGCCAGAAGTGGTGCTATGGCTTAAGTGGAAGAGTGCTAGCACTGAGCAAAAGAATCTCAGGAACAGTGCCCGTGCCCTGAGTTCAAGCCCCAGAACTGGCAAAGAAACAGCACCAACTGAGAGACTCCTCAGAGCTAGGATTACACGTATACAATATCACAACCAACTTTAGCAGTGCCAAGATTCTTAAAAGAGCTCCAAAAGCTGAATATTTTTATGTATGTATGAGGTGACTCATATACCTTTACTCTTTTAGAGAAGCTGCATCAGAAAAATACCTGTTGTCATGAGGTGCTTGAAATTTGCTAAGCACCATGATTAAAATCAGAGTTTGCAACTCAGAAAAGATCAGATGCATTACCTATCAGGCATCCACACTAAGAAGCAACACTTACATTGTATTATTCTATGTCAATGACACCCCACAGCACAATGTAAAAGTGATACTTCCCAGAGTTGTACAAGGTACAAGCCCTGCTTTGCACAGAATGTTTTGAGGAGAAAGTACAAAAGATAAGTGGGTAATTTTAAAAAGCTGTCTATAGACAGCTTGAGATTACTGTAAAGGAAGTGATATGCTTAGATACAGTCTATGTAATTTTGTGTGTCCCTGAACAGAAGCAAGAAATTCAATTACTGCCCATTACATCATCAGCTGAAGGATTTTTTTAAAAGAAAACATGCATTTAAGCCTTTACTTTTGGCCTCACTTCCTAAGTTCACCCTTCAAAAGGCAGAAAGTATAAGTCTATCCAGAAAAGGAAAGGGATTTGCTAAGCAAATCACTTTGATTTAGAATAGAAAACTTAGAAAATATGTTATCAAACCCAAGGTTTTATCTATTTGTTAAGAAAGTAAATTTAAATAATTATATTGTTATGGTGTTGGAAGTTTTGGTGTAACAATAACATTGTACTTATATTTTACAATATTTCAATGTCTGGGATTTGCTTAAATAATCTAGGGGGGAGCAAGTTGAGTAGAAGGACCAGGAGTTCATAGATGAAGTGGTAGCATTAGCACCTGGAGTTTATAACAGACTGTTTTTGTAGTCCCTCAAAAGTTTTTTTTGGTCAGTCATGGGGCTTGAACTCGGGCCTGGGAGCTGCCTCTGAGCTCTTCAGCTCAAGGTGAGCTTTCTACCACTTGAACCAAAGCACCACTTCTGGTTTTCTGGTGGTTAATTGGAGATAAGAGTCTCACAGACTTTCCTGCCTGGGCTGGCTTTGAACCACAATCTCAACCTCCTGAGTAGCTAGGATTACAGGTGTGCCACCAGCACCCAATAAAAGTTTTCTTTATATAAAACACACACACAGATACCTCTAGCATTTGAAAAGTTGTTGGCACACAGTAGATAATAAAATTAGTTATAAGGGCTGGATACAGGTGACTCACACCTATAATACTAGCTGGGATCTAAGGGTAACAATTTAAAGCCAGCCTAAGCAGCAAAGCTTTTGAGATTGAAGTCTCTTATTCAGGTACAGATGGCTCATACCTGTAATCTGAATTTTAAAAAATGAGATTAGGAGGATGATCAGTTTGAGGCTAGCCTAGGCAGAAAAATTCTAGAGTCCCCCTTTTCAATGGTAGGAATCACTCCCTAGGCATGCACCCTTGAAAATAACTACCTCAAAAAAGGATTGGAAACATGGCTCACCAATGAAAGAGAGCATGGCTGGGCACCTGTGGCCCAAGCCTATAATGTCAGGAAGCTGAGAGCTGAGGATCTCAGTTCAAAGCCAGCCTGGGCAGAAAAGTCTATTAGACTCATCTCCAAGTACAGAAGTAGAGCTGTGCCTCAAGTGATAGAATGGTAGCGAAGAGCCAAAAAAAGAAAAGAAAAGAAAAGAAAATGCTTAGGGAGCTCTGCCCCCCGAGTTCAAGCTTGGCATACACACACACAGCTGCAAACACAGTACCACCAAAGTAAGAGAAAACTCTCTTCATTAAACCACCCAGCCTAAATTTTATTTTATCCTTATTCTTAAAATTGTCATTTGACTTCGATTTCTCCATTTTTTCATTTAGCTACAATTTCCTGGCTCAGATCACCTGTCATCATAGGTAAAAAGAGTGAAAATAAGACAGAAATACACAGAAGCTGAGAAGCCACAAGGGTAATGACAAAGCTTTCCAAGAAGCAATTTAAAGGATACAACCTTCAACTGCCAAGAGATTTTCAGATAGCAGATCAATGACCAGTACTGTGATCAAGTTTTAAACCAAGCCATGTTTGCTTCCTCACATAAACTATACATTCATATACAACTGATTTCCTTAGATGAACCTTTTTTGGGGGGGTTGGGGGTAGGGGAGCAGTTCTAGGGCTTGATTTCAGGGCCTGGGCATGTCCCTGAGCATGTTTGCTCAAGGGTAGCACTCTACCACTTGAGCCACAGTGCCACTTCTAGCTTTTTCTGTTTACTGAGGAATAGAACCCAGGGCTTCATGCATGCTAGGCAAGCACTCTACCACTAAGCCAACTTCCCAGCCCCTATATATTAATCTTAAACACAGCTATTTAGTTAACAAGTGATATATACAAAGCTAGAATACCAGCCAGACACTGATGGCTCATGCCTGTAATCCCAGCTATTTGGGAGATTGAGATATGAGAAGCAGGGAAGAAGCCAACCTGGCAGGGAAAATTTGTCACTCTTATCTCCAATTAATCACCAAAAAGCTGGAAGTAGAGCTGTGGCTCAAGGAGTAAAGCACCAGCCTTGAGCACAAAAGCTCAGGAACAGTACCCAGATCCTGAGTTCAAGCCCCAGGACCAGCACAAAAAAAGTGATACTAGAGTATCACTTATCACTTAAATATTCAGCATAGCCAGGCACTGGTGGCACACACACACCTGTAATCCTAGCTACCAGGAGGCTAAGATCTGAGGAACACAGTTCTGAGCCAGCCCAGGCAGTAAGACTCTTATTTCCAATTAATCACCAAAAAACCAGAAGTGGTGATGTGGCTCAAAGTAGTAGAGCACTAGCCCTGAGCAAAAAGACTCAGGGATAGAGCCCAGGCCCTGAGTTCAAACCTCATAAACCTCCCCCCCTCCAAAAAAAAAAAATTACTGGGCGCCAGTGGCTCTACCTATAATCCTAGCTACTAAGAAGACTGAGATCTGAGGATCAAGGTTCAAAGCCAGCCCCGGCAGGAAAGTCTGTGAGACTCATCTCCAATAAACAACCAGAAAACCAGAAGTGGCTCTGTAGCTCAAGTGATAGAGTGCTCACCTTGAGCTGAAGAGCTGAGGGACAATGCCCAGGCCCAAAATTCAAGCCCCATAACTGACAAACACACACACACACAATCAGCATAAATATACCAAAAAAATAAAAAAATACAGTCAATTCTATTATACAATAAAAATATCCATGGGCTGGGATGGTGGCTCAGTGGTAGAGCACTTGCCTTGCATGCCTGAGGCCCTAGGTTCGATTCCCCAGCACCACATAAGCAAAAAGAAAAAAGCTGGAAGTGGCGCTGTGGCTCAAGTGGTGGAGCGCTAGCCTTGAGCTGAAGAGCTGAGGGACAGCGCCCAGGCCCAGAGTTCAGGCCCCACGACTGGACCCAAAAAAAATAATAATAAATAAAAATATCCATAGCTGGGCTCTGGTGGCTCATGCCTGCAATCCTAGTTATACCAAAGGCTGAAATCTGAAGGAAGGATCACAGTTCAAAGGCCTTAGCAGAAAAGTCCTTAAGACTCGGTCTCCAAAATAACCAGCAAAAAGCTGGGCTGGAGGAATAGGCTCAGTGATAGAGCACCAGACAAAGATACAAACCCAACAAACTCCAGAGGACCAAAAAAGAATATTCACATCACCTATGTAAACCTATTCTCTACTTTTTTACAGTTTCAAAGGAGAATACAAGAAGTGAAGTCTCTAAGAATGGCTTCTAATCACTGGAATGAAACTACTACATCTGTTTATCAATACCTTGGTTTTCAAGTTCAAAAAATCTACCCATTTCATGATAACTGGAATACTGCCTGTTTTGTCATCCTGCTTTTATTTATATTCACTGTGGTATCCTTAGTAGTACTGGCTTTCCTTTACGAAGTGCTTGACTGCTGCTGCTGTGCAAAAAACAAAACGGTGAAAGATCTGAAGAGTGAACCTAACCCTCTCCGAAGTATGATGGACAACATCAGAAAACGTGAAACTGAAGTGGTCTAGACGACAGAAGATGAATAAAACCTTCAACAGCCTTTAACATCTTCTGAGGAGAAAAGTTCTTGATTATAAAGTTCCTGTTAGAACACTGATTCTGACTTTGAATGGTTAAGATTTATAGTAAAAGCAAAAGATACGTATTCACTTTGTGTATATCCCTTTCATTAAATATACAGTAAAACTTCATAAATATGACAGTAGCGACCTATTTAACGTGACGCAAAAAAAAAAAAACTGAATTAAGATTCTTAGGATTCGGGGACTGGGAAGGTGGCTCAGTGGTAGAGTGTTTGCCTTGCATGCATGAGGCCCTGGGTTCGATTACTCAGCACCACGTGAGCAAAAAGAAAAAGTCGGAAGTGGCACTGTAGTGGTAGAGCGCTAGCCTTGAGCTGAAGAGCTGAGGGACAGCGCCCAGGCTCAGAGTTCAGGCCCCATGACCGGACCCAAAAAAAAAAAAAGATTCTTAGGATTCAGGGGCTGGGAAGGTGGCTCCGGAGGAGCCACCTTGCATGCATGAAGCCCTGGGTTCCATTCCTCAGCACCATATAAGCAGAAAAAGATGGAAGTGGCGCTATGGCTCAAGTGGTAGAGTGCTAGCCTTGAGCTGAAAAGCTAAGGGACAGCACCCAAGGCCTAGAGTTCAGGCCCCACAACAACAAAAAAGATTCTTAGGATTCAGTAATGAGTGGTAAAGATAAACTGGGAATTTTAAGTACAGCTCCTGATGCTAAAGTAATTTATACCTAAACAACAAAAATGCTACTTAAACTATTTCCAAATCCAGAGAAAAATACTTCTACTTACAAATGTCTCTATTTATTCAAAAGGAATACTTTCTAATTTATTAAAGACATATATATATATTTAGTTTTTTGTGCTGGTCCTGGGTTAACTAGAGATAAGTCTCTCAAGGACTTTCCTGCCTAGGCAGACATCAAACCATGATCCTCAGATCTCAGCCTCCTAAATAGCTACAATTACAGGTGTGAGCCACTAGCACCCAGCTAATAGGCAGCATTCTTTTCATCAGTCCTGGGGCTTGAACTCAGGGCCAGGGCACTGTCCCTGGGCTTTTTTTTTTTTTTTTGGTCGGTAGTGGGGCTTGAACTCTGAGCTTGGGCGCTGTCCCTTTACTCTTCAGGTCAAGGCAAGTGCTCTATAGCTTGAGCCACAGTGCCACAAGAGTCTCATGGACTTTCCTGCCCGGGCTGGCTTTGAACCGCGATCCTCAGATCTCAGCCTCCTGAGTAGCTAGGATTACAGGCATGAGCCACCAGCGCCCGGTTTCCCAGGGCTTCTTTTGCTCAAAACTAGCACTGTAGCACTTGAGCCACAGTACCACTTCCAGTTTTTTCTATTTATGTGGTACTGAGGAATTGAACCCAGGGCTTCATGCATGCTAGGCAACCACTAAGCTACATTGCCAGTCTCAAAGACAATGTTTTTAATGTCATAAGTTTCATATAGAATATGAAAAAGGCTCCCCTCAAAAAGTTGAGAACTGGTGGCTCATGCCTATAATCCCACTCAGGAGTCTGAGATCTGAGGGTCATAGAACTTGAAGCCAGCCCAGGCAGTAAAGTCTTATCTCCAATTAATCAACAAAAGCTGGAAGTGGAACTGTGGCTCAAGTGGCAGAGCACAAACTTTGAACAAAAAAAAGCTCAGGGAGGGGCTGGGAAGGTGGCTCAGTGGTAGACTGCTTGCCTTGCATGCATGAGGCCCTGGGTTCAATTCCTCAGCACCATATAAGCAGAAAAAGCCGAAGTGGCTCTGTGGCTCAAGTGGTAGAGTACTAGCCTTGAGCTGAAGAGCTGAGGGACAGCGGCCAGGCCCAGAGTTCGGGCCCTACAACAACAACAAAAAAAAAAAAAGCTCAGGGACAATGCCCAAGCCCTGACTTCAAGAGTATGAACATACACAAAAAATGCAACTTACAGGTGGGGTTCTCTTGGCACATGGTGGATAACAAAATCTGTTATAAAAGCTAGGTGCTGGTGGCTCTAGACCAGCTACTTAAGAAGCTAAGATCTAAGGACTGCAGTTCAAAGAAGCCTTAGCAGGAAAGTCCATGACATGGTGATTAATTTCCAATTAACCACCCAAAAGAAGGAAGTTGAACTGTTGCCCAAGGAGTAGCGTAACTAGCCTTCAGTAAAAGGCTAGAACTAGAGGCGCATAGCTCAAGTCTCAGCTTTGAGTAGAAAAACAATGTAAAACCTAGACCAGAGGTTAAGCCCAAATACTAGCACACAAAAATAATAACAGCCACCAAAAACAAAAAAAAAAAACAAACCATGGCTGGAGGTGTGGCTCAGGTAGGCACAGAGTGCCAGCCTAGCAAGCAAAAAGCCTTCAGTTCACACTTCAATACTGCCAAAGTGAAAAAATTAAGTTTTTAGGTCAGAAGATATAACTCAAAAGCAGAATGCTTGTCTAGCTTGTATAATGTCATGGATACAATCCTGAGGAGGGGATGTTAATATTTACTGTGAGTAAAGGGTACTGAGATTAAAGATAAACCTAATATATATACTAATAAGCCCTGAGGAGTTCAAATCCCAGTACTGGGGGAGAAGGACCAGTTATTATACAATTCCATTTATAAGAATTGCCCAGGGGCTGGGAAGGTTGCTCAGTGGTAGAGCGCTTGCCTTGCATTCATGAGGCACTGGGTTCGATTCCTCAGCACCACATAAGCAGAAAAAGCTGAAAGTGGTGCAGTGGCTCAAGTGGTAGAGCACTAGTGTGCTAGAGCACTAGCCTTGAGCAGAAAAGCTGAGGGACAGCGCCCAGGCCCAGAGTTCAGGCACAATGACTGGCAAAAAAAAAAAAAAAAGAATTGCCCAGAAAAGGCACAAAATAATTAATTATGGGTTACCTAAGGCTGGAACACATCACAACTTTTATGAGGATGAAAATGGCTGGGCGCTAGTGCCTCACGCCTATAAAATCCTAGCTACTCAGGAGGCTGAGATCTGAGGATCATGGTTCAAAGCCAGCCCAGGCAGGAAAGCCCAGGAGACTCTCCAATAAAACACCAGAAAAACAGAAGTGGCACTGTGATTCCAGTGGTAGAGCAGTAGCATTGAGCTGAAGAGCTGAGGGACAGTGCCCAGGCCCAGAGTTCAAGCCCCTAGACTGTACTAATAATTGCACAACTCCACACTTAAAAACTATAAATTATATACTCAAAATAAGTGAACTGTTGGTATATAAACTAAACCTCAATGAAGTCTTTTTTGTGAATGTGTCAATCCTATAACAAACTCAAGAGCCTGGGCCCTGTCCCTCAGCAGTTGTGCTCAAGGTTAGTGCTCCACTTGAGCCACCACTCTACTGCCAGTTTTTTGCTGGTTAACTGGAGATTCTCATGGATTTTCCTGCCCAGGCACGCTTCAAACCATGATCCTCAGACCTTAGCCCCCTGAGTAACTAGGATTACAGGCATGAGCCAGTGGTTCCCAGTGAGTCTTTTTTTTTTGTTGTTAAGTTTTAGCAGGAATTTTAATATGATAGGGTTAAAGTAGAAAGAAATAAAGAGGGAAATATTTCCTGCTCTCCTTGCAGGAAAAAGGAATTAGAAAGACTCCAGAAAGCACTGTTAAAGAGATAATAGCCTAACATCTTTATGGCTTAAATCCTTCTCATTCCATAACTCACATTTCACAAAGTGTCTAAAATCATGAATGCTGAACTGTTACAAAAGAAAAAAAAGTTTTAAAGTATAAAGCATTTCACTAACCAGAACTTTGTTTTGATCCTGATGACCCTCCATGTTCTACCTTTGCTTTCTTCTTCTTTGATGATGATGAATCCGAAGGTAATGTACGTTTTTCTACCACAGGAGTAGAAAGAGCTCGTTTCTTAAACAGTTCCCGTTCTCTCAGTAAACTTGGATCCATAATGCTGCAAAGACAAAAACAAGCATTTTTAATGTAGATTTGGGTCACTCAACCCTAGATGCCAAATTCAAATACTTCAATAGCTATTTCCCAAATAACTCTACCTCTTATGATTAGTTTTGTAGCATGTTGCTTATTATCTGTCAAGTATTAGGTTACACAGTAGTAGACAAAATTATTCCCAAGAGCTGTGCTGTCCACTATAGTAACCACTAGCAACAAGTACCCAACAGGCATCTGAAATGCAGTTAGAACTGAGATATACTATAAGTATAAAATATATGCCAGATTTCACTCTTTGTACAAAGAAAAAGGATGCTTTTAGTTAGTAGTAAGACATTTTACATTAATTACACACACGTGACATTTTGAATATACTAGATTCAGAACTAAAATTTCACCAATTTTCACTTTTTTTTTTGGTCAGTCTTGGGGCTTGAACTCTGGGCTTGGGCACTGCCCCTGCACTCTTCAGCTCAAGGCAAGCGCTCTGCCACTTGAGCCACAGCGCCACTTCTGGTTTTCTAGTCGTTCTGTGGAGATAAGAGTCTCATGGACTTTCCTGCCCGGGCTGGCTTTGAACCCCAATCCTCAGATCTCAGCCTCCTGAGTAGCTAGGATTACAGGCGGAAGCCACCGGCACCTGGCTTCAATTTTCACTTTTTAAAAAAATATAGCTACTGAACTGGGCATGGTGGCACACAGGAGAATCATAGTTCAAGGTCAGCAAGTGGAAAAATTAACAAGACCCTGTCTTAATAAAACAGTGCAAGCAACAGGTAGGGTGGGAGAACTGTGATCTGAGGATCACTCCAATGCAAAAATCAAAAAGACCTTATCTAAAAAACAACAACAACAACAAAAAGCCTGAGGTCACGTCTCAAATGTGAGGTCCAATTCAAACCACAGGACAAGAAAGAAAAAAAAAGTAGAAAAGATATGTATATATAGCTATTAAAAATTAGAAAACTTCTGATTTGAAGGAGGTAGTACTAAATAACCTCTTCACTTTTCCTCCCAGTCTAAAACTACAATTCTGAGCCATTTCAATACAATACAGAAAAATCCTAGCTACTCAGGAAGCTAAGATCTGAGGATTGGGATTCAAAGCCATCCCAAGCCTTAAAGTCCCTGTGAGACTCTTACCTCCAATTAACCACTTAAAAACAGGAAGTGGTGCTGTGGGTCAATTGATAGAACACTAACCTTGAGCACAAAAGAGGCTCAGGGACAGTGTCCAGGTCC